TCTTCCGAGCCGCTCGGAATTGTCATTTCTCCTTTTTCCCAGTTAACGGTAGGGTTTATGCGTTTGAGCCATGGTAGCCCAAGAATAACGTCTTCTGGACCTAAGTCCGTGACGAGAAACTCTGCCTTTTCTGTGTGGTCTCCAACTGTAAGTGTGAGGCGCACGAAGTGTGTTAATCCGCCCGCTTTGTTCTTAGTTCCGTCAATGTTGTGTAATGAGATGATCCTTTCAAGAGGGTGTTGGATAATCTTATGCTTTTTGACGAACTGGTGACTGATGAACAAAGCCGTGGCTCCTGAGTCAATCATAGCAGGAACACGGATGCTTCTATTGAGACCTTTGACTAGTACATGTACACGGAAATGAGAAGATAACCGATCTAGCGACGAGATAGTACATGAAGAGATAACAGACGACGGGCACGGAGTTGCTATGGTACACGAAGATGACGAGGTAGAAGACGAGGACGGGGTATCGGGGGGACTCGCAGCTGCGGCTTTGTCACGAGTCCGTTTCAAAAAACCGCGTTGATTTTGGCTGCCATCTCATCCATTTGCTTTTTCTGGATGTCCAGCATGTCCTTGAGAGCAGCAATCTTAGCATCCTTGTCATTGGATGCGTCTTGCTTTGGCGCAGTAGTGGTCGACGAGGTCGACGAGGTCGCAGCGACTTTTTGCCCCTTAGGGACACCTTGAAGCCGTTTCAGGCAAACTGCCCCCCAGTGACCGGTGCCACCGCAGTGGTTGCAGACCGGGTCATCGGGGTGCTTCGAGTCCCTCTTCTTGTGACTCTCAGATCCGCAAACCGAGCAGCGCTTGCTCATCTCCTTCTTCCATTTCTGGAAGATCTCCTGTTTGCCTAGACCCGCAAAGAGCGAGTCGAACGAGGCGGAGAAACGGGATGCGTCGATCTCCATCGCATTGGGGTCGCGGAACGCTTGCTGGTGGGACTTGCCATGTCCCGAGGAACTGTCTACCATGACTTTCCCCGTGCTGTTGCGTAGATCGGCCAGCTGAGCATCTACTGCCTTGCACTGGTCCTTCAGTGCATCGTAGGTTGTGGCGCGGGTCTGGAAATAAGAGACGCGCTGAAGGTATTCCGTACTCAAGCTCGACTTGAGACGGTCGAAAAGGTCCTGCTGGCTCCAGCCAGTGCGAGGGGCCCAGGTCTCGAACTCCGAGATGTGGGCGGCGAATGTCTTGTTACCCTGCTTCATGCCGGTAACCTTAGTCTTGGCCTCCATAACCGCGTCAATAGGCTCAAAATTTGCCTTGAAGGCCTCGATAAACGTGTCCCAGTCATTTCCAAATGCTGGTTTGCTATTGGCTAGCTCCTCGATGTGAGGACGAGCCCAATCAGCTGCGTCTTCCTGCATGAAGGACAGGGCGCTGGTGATGAGTTTGTGAGGATCAAAGATCCTCGCGCCATTGTTATCCAGCCGGACTTGTCCTTGGGCATCCTGCTGGAAGAATGCTTTGCCCTGATTCTGCGCCCAGACGATGAACGCGTGTCGGAAGAGCCTGGCTTCTGACGACGTTTTTCCCTTAAAAGAGACGGGCTTCTCGACAATACTCCGTTCTCGGGACGTATGCGTGGCCGCGGCGACGGCTGGTGCCTGAACGGCTGCCAAAGCAGCCACTTGATTGGTGAGGTCAATCATCCTTTGTGACAGGACGCCCAGTATATTTAGGATGTCTTGCTGGCTCAAATTGGCAACTGGGGCAGCTGGAGCAGCAGGGGCAGCGGGCTGGTTGGGGTCCATGTCTTCTTTGGTGATGAGTCGTCGATTTTCTTAGTAGAAGTGGTCGTCTGTGACCGCGCTCGAATCAAAGAAGTGGATGCAATTATCACAAATTGTGGCAGGCAAAACTTTCTGGACTATCTAATCCAGTTGAAGTAGCTATCTCTATTGACTATGTTAAGCTGGGCAAGAACTTTGCTATAATTCTTGCGAAGCTGTTTAAACGAGATCTTCCCAATTGCCTTGCAACCCCAGTCTAGAAGTTGCCACTCGCGGTCTGCTGTGACTGGCGCGAGTTCGTCAAGTCGATTGAGGAAGCGGTTGACTTTATTGACGAGGTGAAGCAGAGCGCGGCGGTGGTCGGGGTCCGCGCAATGGAGAAGTTCTTGAAGCTCAGTGAGAGCTTGTAGTCGTGTGTGGACAGCGGTGAGCTTAGGCTTGAAGATGCCTATGAGGTCGACTGATGACAACTTTTTGAAATCAAGGAGTACCGGTTTTGGTGCAGCGGGAGCGGGAGTGGGTGCAGGGAGCTTGGAAAGCCGCTCAGAGAGTGTGGGCTTGTGGATACGTTGCTCTGCTAAGGTGCGAGCACGTTCTTCGGCAACGCGTTCTCCGTATGCTCTGGCAGAAGCGCGAAGTTGTCGATTTTCCTCGTACGAGGGGACGGTGAGAGTGATGCCTTTCACTGGCGGTTTCTTGGAGACGTAGTCGGCAACGGCGACCAGGTCTTTGTCAGACCAGCGATGAGGTTGACCGCTCTTTCGCTTGGCAGCGAGAGCGTCAAAGAAGGAAGGCGGGAGGCACCTCTTGAGCTGAGGCTCGTTGGTAGTGAGGTCCTTAGACAAACGGGTGCGCGTGTCCTTAGGCACTAGACAACGCAGGGGGGTTTAAACGGTCGACGTAAGTGGTAGCTCAACGGTATGATGAGACCGGAGACGTACTCGTCAAACAGGAATAAACTTTTGTAAACGGTGGGGGAGGAGATATAAACCCAGGGGTTACACAACGATCTCGACCTAATGACACGGAGACAGGGCTCGACGTGACAAACAGGGACACGATGTGGATGTCGACGAGGAGGTGGTGGCAGGCGTGAAGCACAATGCGTTCACCAGCTATCAAACTTATTCAGAAATCTAGCCCAGTAAAGACCAAGTTAGTATTGGGTACTACCAGCTATGTAGTACAGAGGGGGTTTGCTTACCTAGCCCAGTAAAGACCAAGAGGTCGAGATGGGGGCTAGGAGCGTACATGTAGCAGTATATATAGACTTCAGGGACCTGCGCACAGACCATGTTGAGGGCAGGCTTTGCAAGAAGCCGTGTGAACGAAGAACAAAAGAACTACCTAAAGTAGAACAATAGCTATTGTCTAGACTTTGCCAAGAACTCTACTCGTGAGAGAATCTATCTAAAAGGAGACCAACTATTGTATTCCATTCCCACACCTGTGAGAACATCCTTCCATAAAGAGAACAATAAGGAAAGAACAAAAGGAGTCCATGTGGGCGTCATTTATGACATCAAACCCTAGCTATGGGCTGAGCCATGTGTCTGTAGCCATGTGGTCTTACTTAAGCTAAGTCACATGCTAGTGTGACGTAGTAGCAAGTAATGTGACCGTGTGGGGCGTCTAAGCCACGTGATACGGGCGCTTAATAGACGTGCAAAGGAGTTTATGCAGAGAGATTTGAAACTAGGTTGTAGCCCGGAGTTTTACAGATAAAAACAAGAGGTAAATTGCAAAAATTAAGGGCTAGTCAGGCCATCCATGACACAGTTCTCCCTTCTGCTGACCAGCACACTGCTGATGCGAGCCACCACCCTGCACTACCTCTCTGCCATTGTTACCCTGTCCAACGCACTGAGTCATGTGGCTCATCCCTACCTGTGACTTTTACCCACCCTTTCCACACCTCTTCTGGTGGGTCCTCCACGTACTCCTTCTCCAGTATTGTGCCTTTTGCCACCCACCACAACCTGCCAGAGTCCCTGTCCCCGACAGACGTCAGCATCACCGCCAACTGTGACAAGCCAGTTGTACCTCCCGTGGAGAACAGCACGGCAGTTCATGCAGTCCCAACCCACCATCACCAGCCTCCCACTGGTGGTGGAGTCTGAATATCGCATAAGCGCCATTCCACGCTCCACCGAGGGCCACCCCTTGGGCTTACAGATGTGGTTGGTCTACAAGATTCCAGACACTCAACAAGGCGTTGGAACTGGTGATATAGTGCCCGCCATCAAACACTCCTACCTCATCTGTGGCTTCTTCAGTGTTTTGTCAGATTGAATTCTTGTTTGGGCCACCCCTACACGTGACCACGCATTGCCTCCCGTCATCCTAGTCCTCCGACCCTTGCACACCAAGTTGTCAACACGCATACGGCTCATTGCCTGGCAATGTGGGAAGGGTCTATGTCTCTCCTACTGAGCTCTATTCCCTGTCCCAGTAGACTCAGTGGCAAAACAACCTGCACCCCCTACAGTCAAACCCAAACCAATCCACCTCCAAAGTGACAGATTGCCACCGCCCACCTAATCCAACACCATCCGAAGCAAACCAGATCACTTTCGTACCTCACACGCCATCCTCGCTGATCTCCTGTCTTGAATGTAACCCTCCCTTTTTTCCACCCATTCCCCTGTTTATCCTTCCTTTTCTTTCTTGGTGTTTGAGGAGTCTTTGTTCTGAACCGTCTGTTGCAATTTTCCCGCCCTCCCATCGTTGCTCACCATATCCCCTCAGGTTTCCTTGGTTGGGCAGGTCTTCTCACATGTCTGCCGGCCCTTTGGGCCGTCTCCCTCTTACCGACTTGCATCGGCATTGATACACACATTCTTTCCTTACCTGCCTTTCCTTTGCGTTTCTCCTACTACCACACCTTGTTGTCACAACAATTTCCCTTTTTGATTCAAGTCCTTTGCTCAACGCTCTTGTATACTTCATCTTTAATCATACTGCACATTTGCTTCACAGACAAGTCAGGTTACACTAAGAATCCCAAAGACAGATGGCTTAGCAACCGCATAGATATGCTTCACATGCTGGTTTTGAGTTTTATATCCCTCCCAATGCATCTCTCAGATATAGTATTTCAGACACATGCATTTATCTGTGTATACTAACAGCTCCATCTATAATATCTACTTTTTCCTGGACTCACACAGCTTAATTACCTGTGCGCACAGGTGGACCCATTTGCCAAGAGAACTTTGAGAAAGTGAATCAGAATGTAAACTTAGCTTGCAGAACACAAGCTTGGATGGCTCAGCTGGTTAGAGCGCCGGTCTCATACGTCACGTGTGAGTAAGCATTGTGCTTACGCAATCCGGAGATCACGAGTTCGATCCTCGTTCCGAGCATTTTTTTCCTCTTTCTGCAATGTTCTGCGAGTTGGCTATATGACCTTATAGCATTGAGAGCAGTTGTTTTGGACAATATTGGGACGAAAACAATAGTGTGAGCACCTCCGCGATAGTGGCCGCGATCAGCCAGGCTCGCATTGTTCCGATAGACGCTGACTACCCGCTCTGCTCTCAACCACACCCAACTCACGGCCAAGCATCTGCCACTGGCCTTTTCACCCTACGAAGCCTCCGCCGTTCGCATACTCGTTGGTGCTGAAATAAAAGTCTGCAGCCAACAATCCCCTTCTCTTTGCCTCGAGGCATGAACAACCGCAAACGACGGGCAGCGGACGAGCTCCTTCCTACTACACGCCCGGCAAAGATTCCTCGCACCAATCACGCCTACCTCCAATCCTCTTCAGAGCACGCCGCCTTGCTTCACTCTACAACTATCAGCACTCGCTGGGTGCAACTTGCCGAGGAAATTTATACTCTAGTCGGAGACACTGCAGGTGTCATGTTCAGCTCACTGCTTCGAGGAGTTGGAACGTTTTTCTCGCGAGCAGACTCACATTCAGGTATGACAGAGACCCTTGTTTGTCGTGGGGAGCTATTGAAGACCAGGTTTAGACGTGGAAGACGTGGATACCTACGTTGCTGAACCACAGCCCTCAGTTTCCCCACCCTCATCGCCCTCCATAGTATGCATCTCACCGCCAAAACAGCCAGCCACGCTACTCACCGAGCTCCATCCACCTCCTCGAACACGACAGTTCTCAGGCAACAATGCCGTCGCGTCATCTTCGAAGCATAACGACCAGTGGCCAGAGTCCAGCCGGGTGAATGTCACAAATACAGGTCTTCTAACACCGTCCTCGAGTCAGACGTCGTCGAACTCCTCATCGACGTCTTTCCTAGGGTTGCATCCCGAGTTGACGAACAATCAGCGTATTCTAGCAGCAATCCACGACGCCACAAGAAAGCAGTTTGTACCCGCGCGGAAGCAAAGGCCAAGACGAAGGCATATATTCGATGATCGAGTTCGTGTCTTTAGTTGCCCACTATTCAGCTGTGGTCACTGATTGTAATGTAGCACAAGAAAGAAGTTCGCGAGGACAGAATCAAGACGAGGGAGGAGATGATAGATCAGCTGTTCGAGATTCGACGGCAGAGAGGAGGTTCGTTCTCAAATTAAGCCGATGCTGCATTCACTTCAACTACTTTACTGCAGAATTCAAGGGAAATAAAACGGAATTCCGGAGTAAGCTACATTTGCATACATCTACAGTGGCCTCTTGACACTTTCGCACAGGCTGGCTTGATTATCGCGCGTATCTGGAAAAGGTGTCTAAAATAGAGGACCTTGAGCGTGCGTTGTGGTCGTTCTTCTGCAGCCCTCAGCATCAATTTTAACATCCTGCACAGCTTCGCCCTCTCTCGTCAACCTTCATGAGCCACCACCCTTCCCCGAACTCACACGAAGTCGTTCGGCTCCCGTACGTCCTTGTACCACCATTCTGCTCATTCTTCACAACTCAAGAGCTACCAGATTCAGCAAGCTAGCGATGGGTTCATACATCGAGCCTTACAGAACGCAAAGGAAACGCTTAAGAGGTCGGTATTCATAACTCTTGTACTTCTCGGTGATGCTCATGTGGCGCGCAGCAAACCTCCTCCTTCCTTCAGTCCTACGCTTGACAAGCTTCGGCTAGCAAAGCTCACAAAAGCACAAGAAATTGAGGATCGTCTTCGACCAAAGAAAAGGCCTCTACCCGCCTCCCTTCCTGCAGACGACGAAGCAGAAGTAGACACTCTCCTTAGCAAGCGTGGGATTATCTCAAAATGTGTCCGGGAGCAAGTGTCCGACAAGGACCTGCAGCGGTTGAAGCCTGGGCAATGGCTGAACGACGAGATCATCAACTTCTATGGTCAATTGCTCTTGTTGAGAAGCGAGGAGGCAGCTAGCAAGGCGAACAAGGAGAACAAGAGTGGCAAGGGAAAGTTTTTGAACGCGCATTACTTCAATACGTTTTTCTGGTCAAAGTTGACTGGGGAGGGATATGAGAAGGCGAGGTTGGCGAAATGGACCAAGAAGGTGCGTGTTGTTGTTTGGCTATTCTCTATCGGCATACTGACATGAAAGCAGATTGATATCTTCTCGAAGGATGTCATTCTTATCCCGATCAACCACGGCAATGCTCACTGGTCGGGTGCGGCGATTAACCTGCGCCAAAAGCGTATTGAGTCCTACGACAGCATGACGTTCGAACGACCATTTGTGTACAGGGTATATAGACTATTTGGAGCCATGATCATGTGCTGATTGGCTTGCGTTTCTTCACAGGCATTGCGTGGATACCTTGATGCTGAGCACAGAAACAAAAAGAAAACGCCATTTGACTTTACTGGTTGGGAAGATTACGTTTGCGAGGTATGCTTAAACCCGCCCTGTGAAGGCCAATGTCACTGAAGAGCTGTCATTACAGGACACTCCTCAACAAATGAACGGCTTCGACTGCGGCGTTTTTACATGCCAGTTCCTCGAGTCACTGTCGCGCGGTGAAGAAGGGTTTGCCTTTAACCAATCCAACATGCCTTATTTGCGCAGACGGATGATCTGGGAAATAGGTCATGCGAAGTTACGTGACGACGCGTAGTGTTTCCCTTGACTTTCATTGGACATATATTGCTTCGCATACCCTACAGTTTTTGACGTATATCTTTATTCCTCTATCGTTCGACCTAGTTGATCTTACCCTGTGTATAGTTTAGTTCTGTGGGAGGACGGTAACGACGTTGTTACCGAATTGTATCTTTACTGTTGTTGACCTCCTCAGTTGTGCGATATGAGATACAGGAGATTGTATTGTCCACAAAAGTCACCGTCGAAACCACCACACGATGATGAAGAACCAAAACACTACCACTAGGAAAACCATATACCATAGCCACCTGCAGCCTTGTTTTGAAGACATGTTGTTCATTCGGCGAAAAGTGCCAGAGAGGAAGCCAGACGTGTCCGCAAAGGCATCGTTCTTCCGACGCAAAACGCAACATGTTCAGCCTCCACGGTTGACATATGGACGAAACTAGGAACCGCACCATTTGTCCTGCTAGCAACGTCGACTCTCGCACTTCGTTCCCAATCCCGACAGTAATCTATACACACGGAGAGCCAAGTGGGAGTCAAAACACATGTATTGAGACCGCATACACAGCACTCACATCCTTCAGCATCTTGACTTTGGCAGTCAGCCCCTCAAGGTGCTCGTCGTTCTGCCCTTCGAGGTCATCTGCGTAGCGCTGCCCAGCTGGTACCTGCCCGTACGGCGACGACCTCCCGGACGAAGGCGGGGTGCTGTAACTCGTCGGCAGCAATGACGCTCGGTTGTGTAGTGAACTTGAGGTTGGGTATCTTCTGATCCGTTGTCAGCCTCTCTCTCTCGTCTTTCTTTAGTACTTTGACGGCGTCAGTTACCTTTGTGACATTGTAGCTGTGAATTTTGGACGAGCAGACCCGCTGCGGGATGTGTTTACCGTAGTAGGAGAGATGTGGTGGCGAGAGGTTGAGTACTTGGTCCCGGCAAGCGCTCCGCCACGTTAGAATGATCGTTTCATGAATGTTATCAGGCGCTTGTTTTGATGCTATTTGTTGAGGCCTATTATAGTATGCATGAAAGATCATTGACCACCATCACCATCACGGCACAGTGAGACACCCTTCCTCTGCTACCACGAACATCCAGAGAGTAGTTGCTCAATCATACCATGCACGTTTGCGAAAACACTATCTGCACCCAGTGCGCGTGTTCACTCACATGATATCGTGCTTCCGTCCGTAAACCCTGATAAATCCCGATGTCCACAAGAATAGGTCTTCTTGTGGCTTCCCTGACACACTCAAGACAATCCACCCTGATATCGCACTCTCTTAAAACCTGATAAAGCCCCAGAACTGGTGCGTCTCGCTGTCTCCACAACTCTCCTGTAAGACAACCCTCTCACGATATGTTCAGGCTTGTCAAGCTCGTACTGCTCGCTACAGTACTCCCCAAGGCTCTCGCGTCGACAAGTTTAGCAGGTATTCAGTCACTCGTGCAGCGGCGCATTCCACAACATGCGGACAACTTCCACTTCAGTTTTGTGGAAGGGTCTGGGGACTCATTTGTTGTCAGTGATACCCCAGGCATTGCAGGAGGAGTGTCCATCCAATGTACCACTGTCAGTGCATGCGCTCGCGGGCTTTACACGTACGTGGCGCTCGTCCCAGTAATGGGTTACTCACAAACATCTACTCGTAGCTATTGTACCGAGTATGGCGGCGTTGACATTTGGTGGACCGGCTCACGCCTCCAAGAACTAGCTACTCCTCTCCCAAAAGTTGGGGAACCCGTCTCTGGGAGCTCCATTGTGCCCTGGAGGTACCACTTTAATACCGTCACATTCGGGTACACGACTGCTTTCTGGGGCTTTGACCAATGGGAACTTCTCCTCGACTGGCTCGCTCTCCGTGGCGTCAACCTCCCCCTTGCGTGGGTGGGTTATGAAGCCATCCTCATCGAGGTCTTCCAAGATGCCGGGCTTTCAGACGCAGATATCTTCGACTTTCTTGCAGGTCCCGCATTCCTTCCCTGGAACCGATTCGGAAACATGCAAGGTTCCTGGGGTGGTGCGCTACCCATGCAGTGGGTAACAGACCAATTCACCATGCAGAAAACTCAGATTCTCCCCCGTATGCTCGAGCTCGGGATGACACCCATCCTCCCCTCGTTCACCGGGTTTGTCCCTCGCGCGTTGCACACTCTCCACCCGAATGCCCAGATGGTCAATGGAAGCGCTTGGGAAGGGTTTCCTACCTCATTCACAAACGATACATTTCTCGAACCTTTCGATCCCATGTTTGCGCAAATGCAGAAATTGTTCATCTCTAAACAGCAGGCAGCGTACGGGAACATTACACATTTCTATACGTTGGACCAGTACAACGAAATTGACCCCTTCAGTGGCAACCTGAC